TAGGAGAAGGAAGGGAAAAATGAGCGGGGGGGATTGGAGGGAGAGATGAACCATGAGAGACTATGGACTCTGAGAAACAAGCAGGGTTTTACAGGGAAGGGGGGAGGGGGGATTGGTTAGCCTGGTGATGGGTATTAAGGAGGGCATGTACTACATGGAGCACTGGGTGTTATACGAAAACAATGTATTGTGTCAAAAACTAATGTATTGTATGGTGACTAACATAACATAATAAAATTAAAAAATAAATAAATAAATAGTAAAAAAGAAAACTATTTAAATTACTAAAAGTAGAGTCTTACAAAGATATAACCTATGTTTATCATGAAATGTCTATTTTGGGAATGAAAATCATTGTGTCATTTCTTACTACCTCTCCAGCTGTTGGCTTCGTGATCCCAGAAATCATTCTAATAGATGAGCTTTTACCAGCACCGTTGGGTCCTAGCAATCCCAAAATTTCACCTGAAAGAGAATCACTGATTATCAATCTGGGAAGTGAATTACCAAAACCTGTTTCTTCAAACCTTTTGAGATATGTACACCCCTCAGTACTATTTTGAAATTTTTAACATATATGTAATCCATTTCACCAAACCATGTTCTCTAACTCCAATAATTATATGAAATATTAGTAAAAAGCTTATGGATTTGATGTCAATAAATCCTTTGTTTTCCAGATTACTTTTTCAGTTAAAAATGAGCCAGATTCTTTTTGGTAGCAGGTGGCTGATGTGCTGAGTACATGTTTAAGTGATTCTTAAACTTGGGAAGTCAGGGACATTTTCTCCATCCTAAATTCCCCCACCTGCATCCAAGCCACCATCATCTTTCATCTGAACTGATATAAACTTAGCCTCTTGTCTGCCACCCAAATTTACAAACAATAGCCAATGTGTCAATTTATTCAAAACTTAAATGGTAACAAAAAGCTAGCTAAAAACCCTCTGGTGGCATTCCACTAATTTGGTATAAAAATCTAAGCCCTTTGCTGTATTTCACAAAGTGGGACCCAATCTGGCCCTGCTCCCCTCTTGGGACTTCCTCCCTTCCACCTGTAGATGCATCCACTGCCTCTTCATGCATCGATCATTCCAAAGGCAGCCCCAGCTCTGAGTTCCTGCCCTCCTTCTTCTCTCTCTCTGGGTGTCCTTATCTCCGCGTGCTCACACAGATGGACATCTTTCTCATCACTCGGGTCTTGTCTTAAATGTTACTGCTCCAGAAAGGTTTTCCCAAACCCTAAGTGAATGCAGCCCCAAGTCACTCATGTCATTCCACACATTTGAATGCCCCACACAGAACTTGCTTCTGTGACACCTGACACTTTTCTTGATAAGTTATTTTTGGTTTTTGACCCTTAGGATGTGAAATCCATGAGGACAGGGACTTTTCTATTTCTTTCATGATTATATTCCAGAACACAAAGCAGTCCCTGGCATGCTCAAGAAATATAGGGTGAATGAATGCATGCATGCATGCATGCATGCTTCAGCAAGTACAATGGTGCCTGTTTCAGAGATGTTCAGTGGGTATTTCCGAAATAATGGTGAATAAAATTAAGTGATTCTTCCAAACCTTTTTTAACACAGAAGGAGATATTTCTTGCTGCTATTTTCTTCTTCCTCTTTGAGAAGCAACTTTTTTTCTGACCTGCATACTCCTTGTGTAGACAGCTAGCGATTATGACAGGCTTCTGGAATAGAGGACAGTGTGATTTTCCTCTTAACCTTCAGGGACTTTATGTTCCTATGTTCTCATTACTGGAAATTTTCTTACTCTATGTCATAAAACGAAGTATATTTTATTTTCATTTTTTAAATTTTTAGAGAAGATTTATTCATTTATTTTGAGACAGAGGGAGAGAGCACGCTGGGAGGGGCAGAGGGAGAGGGAGAATCTGAAGTAGACTCCCTGCTGAGCTTAGAGCCCAACACGGGGCTTGATCCCACCACCCTGAGATCATGACCTGAGCCAAAATCAAGAGTCAGACGCTTAATGGACTGAGCCACCCAGGTGCTCCAAAACGAAGTATATGTTAAACTGACAGTAATCTATATTGCTTGTTTCAAATGTAACCTGCATTCATTGATGTCAACAATATCTCTAAGTTTCTTAAATCTATCTTCTAAAATAAAACAGTATGGGGCGCCTGCGTGGCTCAGTCAGTTAAGTGGCTGCCTTCGGTTCAGGTCTTGATCCCAGGATCATGGGATCAAGCCCTGCATCAGGCTCCCTGCTCAGTGGAGAACCTACTTCTCCCTCTCCCTCTGCCTGCTGCTCTGCCTACTTGTGCTCTCTCTCTGTCTCTCTGTCAAATAAATAAATAAATTAAATTAAATAAAACAGTATAGGGGAGCCTGGGTGGCTCAGTCGGTTAAGCATCTGCCTTCGGCTCAGGTCATGATCCCGGGGTCCTGGGATGGAGCCCGACATCAGGCTCTCTGCTCAGTGGGGAGTCTGTTTCTCCTCTGCCTCTGTCCCTACTCCCTGCTTGTGCTCACTCACTCTCTCTTTCTCTTGCAAATAAATATATAAAATCTTAAAAAAGAAAAATAAAACAATGCAGCTTCATGGAAACTGGCTCTTTGCCTTCCCAGAAAGGTCTAGGCTCATGGGCACATCACAACATCTAAGTCAGACAAAAGAATAACCCTTCAAATCTTAATCCCTGTTCAGCATTTTATAACAAATCTCACATAAATTCTCCAACTCATGAAATTTTTGGTTTTGAAATTACAGCTCTACTTATCAAAGCCCATTTTCCTCTAAAGAACAATAAAACCATTAAGTTCAGTGTGTTCCTTTGAGCTTCCAGGATACTTCACAGAAGTGCCTCCATATTTAAGAATTATGAAAATACACCAAGCTCCAAACTTTCGAAATGAAAACTAGCGTATCGACCTCTCTTCTTGATAGTTCTTGAATATAGGTCCATTAACATCCACTTTGTCACTTGCTTTTCTTTCTTTTTGTATTTTTATTCATTTGAGAGAGAGTGAGTGAGAGAGAGAGAAAGAGAGAGAGAGCACAAGCGGGCGGAGCAGGAGAGGGAGAAGCAGGCTCTCCGCCGAGCAGTGGGCCCGACACGGGGCTCGACCCCAGGACTCCAGGGTCATGACCTGAGCCGAAGGCAGAAGCCCAACAGACTGAGCCCCCTGGTACCCATGTCACTTGCTTTCCTACCTCGTCTGTGTGTGAAGTGGTCAGGGCGGCTGCTACTCTTTGCCTTTCTGCTTTAACATCTTCATCCTCATCAACAGGGTCTTCGGGATTAGGTCGAGCACCTCTGCTTTGGGGGGAAATTCTGTGGAGAAAATGAAATGTAGGACATAGGGTTTTTTCGTTAGTCAGGATGTCCCCCAAATCAGCTTCTCTGTGGTTTTACCATCCTTTCTCTCCATATGCTGGTGATGATAATGGCCCTGTGAACACTGCTTCTGCTTTTACCAAGAATTCCCATCCCCGTCGCCAGGATCCCCTGCTCATTATTGTCGTTCTTCCAGTTAGACTCTTTGACCCTTACAAATGTCCTGGCAACTACTGCTGCTTCTTTAAAAATCAGGCCACCTACATTTTGTCTCTTGACTCTGAGCCCATCTTAATCACACAGACATTTGCCCTCAGCATCTTTTACTGTTCGCCCCTCCGGCAGCCCCTGTATAATGTCCACCTTATGGAACACTCTGAACTATGGTACGTTGCTCAACCACTTCCATCCTATCTCCTCTGTTCAAGGATGTGTGAGCATCTTAGGTGGGAAAATGGCATATTTGGTTATTCATTAAATTTCTGTGGAACTGAAAACCTCTCTCCACTGGTTCGTGGTAGAACTCTGACTGAGAGTCCTATTTCCAGGCAGTCAGCCAGCAGCAATCCATGGACCATCATGAAAATCAGCATGCTGCTTACGTCGTAAATATCAATCCACATGAACAGGTCAGTAGTGCAGCCCACTACGGAGGAATGTTACAATATGATATTAAGTTCGAAATTAAGTTTTATCCCAACCTGAAAACAGGATCCTTTCGCATTATTTTCTTTCCACATTTTGCTTCCATGCATCTTAGGATAAAAACAAATATCAAAGCCTGCAAGTAAGGCTAGGAGCAAAGAAAAACAGTTATATATAGGCATAAGTTCACAAATATTACTTAAACATCTGAATTAAATTGGTGATCTTTGTCTTTGAGTAAAATACATGGGAAACATTTTTACAAATCAGGGGAGAAATCCAGCTGTACAATGACAATCCAGCTTAGTGGCACCTCTCTCCTTTCTTCTCACAATCCACATCCTATCTGTCAACAAATTCTATCTGCTCTACCTTCAAAATTACCCAGAACCCAACTTCTCGTCCCTGCCTGTGCTGCTCCCGCCCAGGTCCAGGCCATCATAATTTCCCATTATAATATTGCAACACTTTGTTACCTGGTCTCCTTCCTCTCCTCCCTGTGCCCCAAACACGTATTCTCAATACAGTCACTAGAAGTACTCTTTTAAAAAATAAGTCTGATCATATTGCTTTGCTTAAAACCCCCCAATGACTCCTCGGTTACTCAAAGAAAAGTTAAACTCCTTATAGTGGCCGAGACTGCTCTGTATAGCCCCCTCCGTCTACCCTGCACTTGACCCTGTGACTTCCATGACCTCCTCTTGTACCGCTCTCCCCTTGGTCCCTCGGCCACCACCACACTGGCCTCCTGGCTGACCCTGGAACAAGCCAGCATCACCTGTGCCCCTCCTCCTAGAATGTTCTTCCCCAAGCTATCCCTGTAGCTTGCCTCCTTGCCTCCCTCAGATCTTTACTTCTCAATCAGGCTTTTCCTGGCTGCCCATCTCACACAATATATATTATCTATTTAGTTTATTATGGGTCTCCTTCCACCACAATATAAATGCCACAGGGGCAGGCACTTCTGTCCATATTTGCTCCTATGCCTAGAAAAGTAGAGACACATTGTATTCAGAGCCAGTAGCTTTCTTCAGCCTAAATATACCAATATAATCATTTTTCCCTTTCATTTATATTACTCAACTTTGCCCTTTTTATCTTTAATTCAAAGGATTTCAGTTATATTGCACCTATATTTCTTACAAGCTCTCTCAAATTTGGAGGTGGCAATAAACAGGATAAATAAACGTGAAAAATTAATTTTATGTTACACTCCGGACCTGCACAGTCCACACGTGCTCGTAAAACGTAACTCGTGATTTGGAATCCTGTCTGAATTGTCTTATTCTGAGACTGTATTAAAAGTGCTTTCAAAGTTGGCACACATCAGACAAACCAAATAGTTATGATAATAAATGCTAACTTATATATAAAAAAAAATAGGTGGAGAGGTAGAAAGGCCTTCTTACTATTAGGCATACTAGAAGATCAACTCCGCTTGGGTCATATCTGTGTTCTGGGTATTTTGGTTGGTGCTCGTAAGCTCTCTGCAAAGACAAAAAGAAAAACAGCTAAGTGAAAGTTCATCAGCTTTATGATTTGCATTTAGATAATATGGAATTCCACATGTTACATATTTCCTTCATTAAGTGTGATTCCCCTGTGTGCACTGGTGACAAGCAATTCCCTGCAGAAAAGAAAGGGGACCCCCACTCAACGCTGTCTCTTGGTGAACAGGTAACCTATGTCTGTTCTTCTTTTCCAATTTTTTTCTTTAATGTTTTGGTTAAGGTTTGCCTCAAGTCTACTGAAAGCATAGCAGAGGGAGGAGCCTGCATTGTGACAAATAATAGGGGTTGACAATATTTGTCCTAAATGCCCCTCAAGAGCCTTTTCAGGGCCCCTGCCTACCCAGGTGGTGACTTGCCCACCAAAATAATTCGTCCCATCATGTTATTCTTTCTTCATCAATCATTGCATTCAGAAAGTAGCTCATTTCTCCTAAACAATGTATGACAGATCTAGGTTAATGTAGTTCACTTTGTAGGTCTGCTTATATCTTAGGAGAGAAATGCTTTAAGCAAAGGAATGAATTTCCAGTTGAGAATTCTAAGTGTTGCTCAATTAATGGAAAAGTGCTTTTGCAGACACAGAAGGCTTTCGCAGGTTCCTAAGAACACAAATGATTAGGGCAGCTTTTTCTACTTTCTTTGAAGTATCATCCAGGATGATGCAGAGCTCTAAAGAGTATGTTCCTGGCTGAGCTCTTGGGCTCATCCCATCGTACACGTCTTTCCATTTGAATCCAACCTTCTTTAATGCCTCCTGGTCTCTCCCGCTTCAGTGCCTTCGCTTCTCTCCAGAGAACATGCTTACCTTCTGCCCCACTCTCCTGCTAATTAATTCTGGCTCATTCTTCAGGATTCTGTTTAACAGCATTGCTTCCCCCCTCCCCCAAAAATTCTCTCTCTAGATATGCTTTGGACCTTGCCCTTGGCACTCTGCCCTTCTTCTTTGGATCCTTTAGGCTCTTTTGCATTGACTTAAGGTCTTCATCTCCACCAAGCTCTGTGGAAGGATGGACTGTGCTATCTTGTTCATCAGGTGTCACCAATGACCAGCACAGTGACTAACACAGAATACTGTTTAATATATATTTGTGAACAAATAAATGGTATTGTATATGATTTTATCCTCGCAATGGATAATGAATACCCATTAAACTAGGCAACATTTTTCAACCTGGCATTAGTTTTGAATAGCATTTGACAATGCTTATGTTTCGCATAGAGCATATGGTAAAGTTTTTTTTTTTT